TTGTTATGTACTGTCAAATTCGTAGACCATAATTAGTCATCATATGCGTGCAACATCCCAGTTACATTCAGTCCGACTGCGTAAAAGATTACCTTTCATCAGGTCTAGCGAAAAATTATACGTTGAGCTTATGCTTGTTATGCGATTAATACATATACACAATTGCAAATGTAGGACGGCTATGTACATCGAAAATAACGCATTATAGGTGTATCCTATTGAAGATAACTATCCTAGTGTTTTTATGCTGCACAAATTATCACTCTTTCAAAGAAAATCATTACGCATTCCAAAACCGGCTACATCACTATTCCTTCGACAAGCAAAGGGTAGCAGTAGTACAAGAATACCGTTAAATCTTTTAAGAAACATTCATTTTGATAAATAATTTTAGAATATCACAAAGATTCCGACATTAACACGCAAATTCTTCAATTGCACTTCATCAAAGCCTCCAAATAAAATGAAACATTACGTAAATTACAATCAACCTGCAAATCAACAACAGTAAAACATCTGATACCAAAAAATTAGCAACATAAAAATGCCACAAACCAAAGTACCCTCCAGGAAAACTTTGTTCACTCACTGTTATCTTACGAGTAAATCAACTCACACTCCTTTATAACTGTAAAATCTTGTGACTCTTACCAAGTTTTCATAACTCACAGATTCAAAACACCACTTCAGCATTTCGCAAAATATGCTTCAACTACCTAGTTCATTTCGTTTTTATTACAATAATCACCAATTCACACAGAATTTTAACATTCCACATGCAAAGAAACAACGAAATTCGATGACAGATACATGTTCATTCAAACTGCTGAAAACGTCAACTTTCCACCAATTTTCCAAGTTTTTCGTCAAAACATAGTATTTGTAATACAGTTCGTTTTAAAAGACACCTGAAAACAACATAGAACAACTCTAATACAACATCGCGATAACACACAACTACACCCCTTGTGTACCTCCATTGATTTCCAAAATAAAATTCACTCCATTTTCAAAGCTTGCGCGGAAATTCACTGTAGACGAGGAACCTTACAACCCAAAGTAAGCACAGAGAAATCAATTTAGTTTACACTGGCTTGTAAAAGTAATATTGGATATTGTAAGTTGTGATTTCGTTTTGTTTAGTCCAATGAGTGCAAAATACACGGCACGCGCAATTTGCTAGCTGGCGTTCTTCCCCTGTGGTTTGACGGACAATGTTGCAAGACGTAGTGATAACCAAGCTTTTCTTACCAGAGCGACGAGGAAATCTCTTACTAACAAACATAAAACAAGAGCCAACTTCGGAAGGCTGCCCCTCTCAGAGCTTGTCCGCTCCAGTAAGTTTTTGGTATAAATTATGCCTTTACGAGTTTGGCCACGGATCGATATCAGGTTGAGAACCATTGAAAACCAGGGAGTATTGGACAGCTACTGTTTCATCCTAGTTTGGGAATCATCGGCTGTGTGAGCACACACTGCCAGGATTCGAACCCAAGACCTAGCGGTTACAAGGCTAGCGAGCTCGTATACCACCTGGCTACTGGGACCCGATTCAACGGCCAGTGCATGAATTCTAACTTCTACCAATTCGTGACTTAGCGCGACCACCAACCAGTGTCATAGGCGGGAAATTCATCCTTACATTTGACTGGATGTGCCCTACTGGTCATGACTTCGCTCTAGAACTTCAGGAAACTCCGTCCTGTAGGAAGTCACTAGTAAGCATCAGATTAATTTTCAAGAGTTGGTTTGTAGGGATTAGATTTGTTTTTGCGAATTTGACCTCGGATTGATATCAATTTAATCCTTACAAGCCAGTTCTTGAATATATTATGCTGTTTTTAGATTAAGTCTGCGTTTAGTTGCCCAATCTATTTCATTGATTTTGTACAGATTGAATTAAGTATCAGAAATAAGACTTGTATTCACACTGGTTTCGCTAAAATTCTCCTGATAAACGCCATTTTTGTAATCCGTGCGGACTAGATAATTGTAGTGGTATTGTGAAATTTTAGCATCCTATGACGTAAATGCGTGCGAATTCAGCTTCCTGGAAGGCTTTAAGCAATCCTAGAGCAGAGGATACAATTTCATTTGATTGTAACACATTTAATTGGGTGTCGAACATCATGTCTGTTGGGGTAGCCACTATGATTTAACTGCATCGGTTGATATTTGTATACATGGTTTACACCATGTTCATATCGCAGAATAATCTCAGTATTACGAAGCAATGCTACACAATTTCCTGCCTTTCACTTCCTTCACACCACCTATACGTGTCATCACAGTTACTTCCTGCTACTTGTGCTTCCCAATGGTGTTATAAAAACATTTATTATTGATTGCACAGTTCCGCGAAACAGTTGACTGCGTATAAATGATGTAGTTTCAGGGAAGACGGTAGGGATTAAGTTCGTTGTTTGCATATAAGTAGCATGTAGTACTAAAATTGTCTTTAGGGACAAAGAATGGTAGGTTTAATTTTGCAGGGAAACTAATTTTGTGATGTTTATATGACATTTGTAGACATGAATCTTGAAACTAATACATTCAGTCAGTTGTTTGCTGTTGTGACACATATTTGTAAGCATCTCAGTTAAATCGTGACACTGGGTATCCGGTTGAACTTATGTTTACAATTCATTTTGTAGCAGGAGAAGTGGATTGTGTCATTGGGAATGAGGTAGAACATCCATTGGGAGGCTTATATCTACGTTTTATCACTGAGCAATCTGCGGAAGTGTTCTTGTTCAGCAACATAACTGAGTCTCTGAAGACTCCTTTATTGAATAAAGCTACCTAAACAGAACCTTGTTATATGATAGTAGTGATACTGATGTTGGTGCGGAGTTAAAGAATAGAGAATCGATTACAGAATCTTGAACAGACTCTTAGTGTGGTTCAATATGAGTTTCACCATTATTCTTCATCTCGAAAGTACAATTTGTTCTCAAATCGTTTTGGAGTGGATATTATGTTATATTTTATATTAATTCCACATAGTTTTTGTGTATTCCGTGTATGAAATATCCACAATTGTACATAAGCTTTATCTTTGTAGGTTACGGAAATTTCTGAGCCTACTCAATCTAATAGTCGAACTCGATTTACAAGGTCGCAAAGCGTCACCTGTCCACCACCTTACTTTACTTCATCTGAACACATAACCCTCCCTGGAAATACTTTCTACACTTGGTCAAGATTTTGTCAGCAACCGATTTCTGGGACGCTGAGTGGACATCTGAACGAGTCTAATGGACTTGTTGTAGGAAGTTCTGTACCTGCTGTAACCAATGTCAATGATTCCACTGCCCTCATCGTACCCAGTACAATTCGTCAGCGTACACCACATGATGTAAATGCTTTTCCATGTCTTCTAGTGCTATTTTGTTTAAAAATTCGTGTTATGACTTCTTAATCAAGAGTTAGGTCAGTAATTATGTAGTGTCTTTATTATCACTTCAGTTTTAATGCATTACAAGAGTGTTCTTGAGATGATACCAGTTTTTACCCAGTTTGGGTTTATCCGAAAGTCATTTGAATATTACTGGTACTGGAAACAACGGATACATTTTTTATCCGCTTATTTGGATTCATTTTAATTGGTTAAACTCTTAACTCATTTGTGCGAAAATTCATAACAAACCATCTGCTCTTATATTGCAAGAGTTTGACTGATTCTAAGTTATATTACTGACTACCACCGGTTAGAGGATCAGAGGGTTACTGGACAGCCCACAACTGACTGGCTACAGGATGGAGTTACTGGGTGTTTTGGTGAAATGTCGTGACCAATGAGGTCCACCAGGTTGGATTCAAGGGCGGAGCTCGCTGACAAGACTGGTGGATGGTAGCGCTATATGTCGCAAATGGACAGAATTCATGATCCATTGGATTCTGTCCCAGTGGTCGAGTGGTGAATGGACCCGCTTCGCAAATTGAAGGCCCAGAGTTCAATCCCTGATGGGGTAGTAAGTGTGTGCTGTTGGAGTCTCAAATTAGGACGAAAGAGCTGTCCAGTACTTCCTGGTGTTGTTTCTTTGACTGATGTCAGTTTGTGATGTGACTTGAAATCATCTCTTACAGTGTATACTCACATATAAAAGCAACAAAATGGTAAGTGTAAGGTATGAAATCGTAGAATACATAGATATTATAACCTGTATCACAGTAAGTGTATTCCTAATAAAATAATCTCAAGGATGGAGCAGGTAGGTTTGAGTCTGATAACCGTGTCTGTCACCTACTTTTCCATACATAGTTTAGAACAGGACTGAGAGATAGCAACAGCTGCCTACCATAAAATCTCTTTGAGAGCAAGCTTTCTTGGTTAACATTGTCCTAGTGGCAGGTATTAATTGAGCTCATGCAAGCTATGATGTGGTCATCCAAACTGTAGTGATTTAATCATTTCAGTTGATGAGTTGTAGTTGTTATCAATGTGACACTTCAAGCATTACGGTGATCAATTACTTCATATCATGTGTACCTATATTTCCCAATTGCAATACTTTAACAACAGTAGGTAGAATACCTCATCTGCAGTGTATATTGAGTGCTTTGAATTGTTTTTGAACCCTGACTTTTCTTTACAAGTAACCAATGTTATCCCGTCAGTTGGCCGGGGAATCTAATTCTGCACCACATGTGTGGATGGCGACCATTTGACCGCTGTGCCACGAACGTCCACGAACTTGTATGGCCACTGTAATTACAGATAAAGAATAAACAGTGAGCAAAACAGCGAACAAATATATTCACATGTAGGTCAGCTAGTACATAATAATGGCCAAGAATAGTCAGCGTTATTTCAAAAAGGATGGAGTGAATAACACTCCCCATATCATTTCCATCCATCTTAGCTCTCTTAAGACTAATTAAGGTATCCAAAGTAGTTCATATATATTTATAGGTTCGGATTGTTTGTTTCATATCATGATTGAAGTTCTTTCAAAACCATCATTGATCTACATTTTTTACTTTATATTTGACGTCAGGATCAGTGTTCATCAAGTAACGTGATTCATAATACAGCTTCCGCAGACACGCGCCTACATTTGGCGACAGGTGGTGAGTGTGTTAATTCGTTACCATTTGGTAACGACACTCTCTCTGGTTCTTCATCTGGTGTCACTCTTCCTCCAACAACGCAATCTTCTGGACCTAGGACTTCTGATGCATTTAATCATCGCCCAGTTCATTCAGCTGTTCGTAATAGATGTACGTTAGTTCCCCGTCCCACACCACTATCAAAAGTATGCACCCAACCGGAAACCGGTGTATTGCTGAATTCACAGCCACCAATGGTAAACACTTGTTCCCAACAATTAGGAAGCAATATACAAAATCCAGTTGTATCTACAGTCGATCCGAACAGAGTAAGTGTCGAGAATGATTATCAGAATGGTAGTTTCAATTTAAAAATATCTTGTGCATTTAAACTGTTATTTTCATCGTCTTATCTACACGTGGATATAACAGACTAAAGATTTGTTTTACACGTCAATAATGTTCGTTATTTTTGTGTCTCTGTTGATGAAAGACAACTGTTGTTTACATATTTCTATCATGTAACTAGGTATCTTTGTATTTCGGTACCCGATAAGGTTTCATGCCCATTATCCCGTTTTCTATTCAACTTCATCATAGATGTGTTAATGGACTTAACCCTAAGTGACTTCAGCGACTCAGGGACTGACTTGCTACCAGGGAATAATCTCGTTGACTTAGAATATGCAGACGATATAGTCCTTCTAGGCGAAGACGCTGACGAAATGCAGAGTCTTCTAAACACCTTGAGCCGCAATCTGCGAATTTTTGGCATGCGATTCGCTCCCGCCAAATGCAAGATGATGTTACAGGACTGGACTATATCGACGCCTAGTTTAAAAATAGGAAGTGAAGTGGTAGAGCACGTTGACCGCTTCACTTATTTGGGAAGTACCATCAGCCAGTGCCAACGGGTTGATCTCTGACGAAATCTCAGCACGAATACAGAGGGCTCGTTTCGCATTTGCCAGTTTACGCCGACCCGACTCTGGCGTAGACGAGATGTTCGACTATCGACGAAAGGGCGGGTGTACTGCTCATCAGTCCGCTCCGTCCTCCTTTATGGTTGTGAGACCTGGCCACTGAGAGTGGAAGACATGAAAAGACTAGCTGTCTTTGATCATAGGTGCCTCCGCTCTATTTCCCGTGTAAAGTGGCATAATAAGGTGAGCAACATTGAAGTTAGGCGTCGAGTTCTAGGTAAACAGGGGAAATCAATCGACGAAGTCGTGAAGTTACAAAGACTGAGATGGTTATGACATGTGTTACGTATACCAAGCCATCGCCTCCCTCGACGAGCAATGTTAGCGGATATAGGGTCAGGCTGGAAAAAAGCTAGCGGCGGTCAAACAAAAACTTGGCCTCACCAGTCAATGAAATCCACAACACTTGGTCTAAGCCACGTAGGAAGGTGTAGACTGGCTTACTGGTTGGGGTCCTCGGGACGGTAAAAATCTATGGTTGGAAACAATTGGTGACATGGCTCAAAATCGTTCTCAGTGGCGCAGATGCATCCACTCCTTGTGACTTATGATCTCCAATGAAACTGTTTTGTTCTTCGTTATTACTCCTGTGTCTCACACCTCTGCTCACTGTTTGTATTATGCTTTTCTTGTACTTTCTTCTCTTACTTCGCGTGCTACACGGAGTGTGGCAACTTGAACTTCCGCACATTTATGCAAAGTTCTATGTCGGAAACAGACAGACAGATAAGGTTTCAAAGCAGGTTACCTGTGTTGTAAAAATTACAGTAAGGTTTAAACTCTGTGTCCTTAGTATATGACTTTGAGGACGAATGTATCTGTAGGCAAATTAAATCCTACAGTGGTCGCTTACCAGTTTTATTGCTTATTAATTCTTGAAAAGGTTGCATTGCAACAACCCAGTGTGGATATATGCACCTAACAATGAGCCACACCAGCGTGTACATGTGCTGATTCTAAGGGATTGTTTGATGTCCCATTAAAGAAAAAATACCGTAGTTCTAATATGCACTTTGCTAGTTGAGATCCAATCACCCAGACCTATGAATCATTTTACATTTGGTTTTCCAATGATTATTATTCCATCAGTGGTCTCAACTACTAGTGGGGTTAAACAGGGTTACCCGATATCCCCACTTCTGTTTAAATTTGCCATCAGTCACATTCTGGAGTCGGCTCTGGAGGATGTGCGTGATGGTGGTTGTGTGGATCTGCTAACCGAAAATACTTCGAATTCGAGTTTGCAAACGACATCGTCTTACTGTGCAGTAACATGCTGCAGGCTGTGCAAATCGTACTTAATCAATTGGTGGTCAATGCTTACAATAAGTATGTTATGTGCTTTTCTCCGTCTAAATGCGACTGATTGTTACAACACTGGGAGGAACCTGTACTTGCATTCACCCTTACAGTTGAACTGTAATGAGTAACCGATAAGTACATGTATGTAGATGGTTGTTTTAGTAACCATCACTTGTCGGGTTTACAATGCTTCGGTGCGCACAGCCTTGCCGTACATCTGTAAAATCTATCCTCCGAGCTGAGGATCAGTGGTGGCTCTGTGTATTGGATCGCCAATGCCTTTGCAGATTGGTTTGCATTGAGGAGTGTTATCATCCACAACTCAGCAGTGGATTCTGGTCTAAGTGAGAACATCGCTTATTGATAAGCGGATATATCCAGCTGGTTAAGGAAAGTAGTATAGAATCCTTTCTATGTTATTATTAAACCACTGAATATCTTTCCATATTTGTGCATCTCAAAAATTCATATTTATTTATATTTTAAACAGTTGTCAATCTCTTCAGCCGCCAACAGGATTAATGAACAAATTTTGAACCCTCCTCCTCCTCCTATGGATGAAAATGTCCTATGGGGTCGTGTCACCCGAAACTCATCGGGAGATTTAAGATTTCCTGGCATAAATCGCACTTTTAAAAGTGTTTCTTCAGTCTTGAGACAAATTTATCAAACGGCTACAGCTGAAGACAGTTTGTCTTTACAGGTAGGTTTTTCATAGTTTATATTGTTTGATTTGTTGATATGAGTAGTCAATGTTTACAGCCAAGTCATCACTAGTCTGTTCTTTACTCTCTACTGTGTTCAGACAGTGACCGATGATGAACTGATGAATAGTTCCTAACTACCACATTGTATCTTTAACTTCAATGGGTATATAGTTTGAAAATTATCAACCTTGATTTCGAGTGATTCGTTAAGTGATGCGGATTATTGTGATGAAATCTCCGCTGATATTAATCATATATCTGTTGTAATTATTATTCCCTTGGGTTCCAAGTGGAACACACGGCTTGAACAAATACATCTCCACTTTGTCCTATCTTCTGCCGTCCTCTTCAGCTTGGACCATGATTTCCCACAATCTCTCGTCTTCTCCTCTTACTCACACAATCTCCTCCATGTCACCGTAGCAATGACAACCCACTCGTCGCCGCTTCCCATTCGGGTGTCACTTGAGGAATGGCCTGCATTGTGCGCGACGTTATTTGACTGTCTCCTCAACTTATTTATGCCCAATCCATATCCATTTTCCCCTACATATTTGTTGAGCGAGTGGCTCTTCGTTGGTTTGTTCCCAGCCATAATTTCTTGTTTCTAGTTCTTCCTGGCCATTTGATCTTTAGTATGGAGTCAGTCAGCGAGGTGGTCAGTTGTTGATGAAAGTGTGAAACAGGCTGTTGGAAATCCTTTTCGTGACTACTCACGCGCAGTGCAAGTTTCTGATTCACATAGAAGAATTGACTGAGTGACTTCAGATTTGTGTTGGGTAGAATTCGAATCTTGTTGTTTATGCTTCTGATTGAGTGCAGAAGATCTTCGAATCGGTTTCAGATTGATGAGGGTGTATCTTGTTTTTCTGATCTTCTCTGGCTGGCTTTGACATCTTCACCCGTTCCGATTGGTTGTAGTGGAAACGATGCTGGCTGGCTAGATAAGTGGAGGAGGCCACCTCAGTTAAGTCTCTCTCGTTGATGGTGATTGGTGCTGCTTGTTGTCGATGTGGCGGTTGGTTGGTTATCTTCATCACCTTTGTCTACACCTTCTCTATATTCACCTGGAGTCCTGTCTTCGCTGTCTGTCTCACCTCTTGGGGCAGTTTGTTGGCTTTGCCTGCCTGGTTGCCTGTAAGTCTTCGAGTCTGTGTGACGTTCGACATATGTCATCCACGCGTGAAATCCAGATGTTCTAGAGTCTTCTTATCGGTGGTCCAGCGTATTCCTTTTTTCTCATTCCCCACGTCTAGCGTGATGCATAATGTAGTCCACCACAATTAAGAATATCACTGGTGATAATGGGCAGTCGGTTTGTCCTACTCCTGCATGCACTTCGAACGCCTCTCTGCGTCTTCCGTTTTGGATCACCTGACACGGGCCACTGTCATATTGTGTCAGCAAAAGGCAAGATATGGACGTCAAGGTATTATTATTATTATTGTATCCTTTAGTTCCTAGAGGAACATAGGGCTTCAGCTGCGCACCTCCATTGACTTCGGTTTTCTGACAACTTTTTCAACCTGCTCCAGGTCTGTCCACATGCTTTCATCTCCTCCTCGCATGACCTCCTCCAAGTCACCCTTGGACGACCAACTCGCCGCCTCCCTTTCGGGTTCCACTCGAGGGCTTGTCTAGTGATGTCACTTGATGGTTTCCTCAGCGTATGGCCAATCCATCTCCATTTCTTTCTGCCTATTTGTTTCACAATCGGTTCCTGATTGGTTCGCTCCCAGAGATCCCTGTTGCTGATCTTTTCTGGCCATCTGATCTTGAGTATTGAGCGGAGACAGTTGTTAATGAAGGTTTGAAGTTTGTTTGAGATGCTCTTTATGACTCGCCAAGTCTCTGATCCGTATAGTAGCACTGACTTCACATTGGAGTTGAAAATCCGGATCTTATTTTTGATGCTGAGTGCTGTTGACCTCCACACAGATTTGAGAGTAATGAAAGCTTGTCTTGCTTTTCCGATTCTGGCTTTGATGTCCTCGTCAGTTCCGCCTGTAGTTGAGACGATGCTTCCCAGGTAGGTGAAGGAGGTTGTTTCTTTCAGGTTCTTCCCATTTATGCTTATTGTGGTCTGTTGGTGTTGTTGATGTTGGCTAGGAATCTTCATTATCTCTGTTTTATCTATGTTCACGTGAAGTCCTATCTTTGATGCTTCTTCTGCCAACTTGTTACTTTTCACTTGCATATCTTCCAGTTTATGGGAAATCAGACATATATCATCGGCGAAATCCAGATCCTCCAAGTCTTTTGTGTCAGTCCATTTTATGCCTGTTCCCTCGTTGGTTGCCGTTGTCTGTCGCATTATCCAATCAATTGCAATCAGGAAGATCATTGGTGATAGTAGACAGCCTTGCCTCACTCCCGTCCTCACTTCGAAGGCTTCCGTAAGTTTCCCGTTGTGGATTACTTGGCATGCAGCATTGTCGTATAACTGTTGGATGAGGTGTATAATTGTCGATGGGACCCCGTAGTAGCGAAGTAGTTTCCAAATGACCTCTCGATCGACGCTGTCGAAGGCCTTTTCAAAGTCGATGAAGTTGAGATAGAGAGGTGACTGCCATTCCAAGCTTTGTTCAATGATGATCCGTAGAGTGGCGATTTGATCAATACATGATTTGTTTCTCCTGAATCCAGCCTGTTCCGGACGAAGTTTTTCATCTAGGGCTTGTTTGATTCTCTCCAGGATGATGCGACTTAGTATCTTGCTTGGAATGGACAGAAGCATAATTCCACGCCAGTTTTTACATTGACTTAAGTCTCCTTTCTTTGGAAGTTTGAATAAGTAACTGTTCTTCCAATCCTCGGGTACTTTGCCCTCTTTCCACACCTTCTCCAGTAGTGGTGTCATCAAGTCCGCTGTTGTCTCTGGGTCTATTTTCAAAGCCTCTGCTGGGATTCCATCTGGTCCCGGTGTTTTCCCAGCTTTTAGCATCTTGATTGCATTCAGGACTTCTGATTTCGTCGGGGGGTCAGTGTTCACTGGTAGTTCTGCTTCCGTTGTTGGTATTGCTGGACGTGTTGTAGGTGGCGGACGATTTAGAAGTCTTTTGAAGTGTTCAACCCAGTGCTTTCTCTGTTCCACCTCTTTGGTGATTGACTTTCCATTGTCGTCCTTTATTGGCTTAATCTGTGTCGAACGTTTGCCCGAAAGGTTCCTAGTTGTTTGGTAGAGTGTGGCGAGGTCTCCTTTGCCTGCAGCTTGTTCTGCTTCGTTTGCCATGGTTTCATAATATTTTCTTTTGTCTTCCCTGGCACTTTTCTTCACTCTTTTGTTCAGTGTATTGTAGCTTGCATTCAGCTCCTGTTTTTGTTGCTCGTCCGTGCACTGGATAATCTTTTGCTTCACTGTCCTTCTCTCTTCTATTAGTTTCCAAGTGTCCGTAGTGAGCCACTGTTTGTCCTGTCTCTTTTTTCTGCCTAGAATTTCTATGCAGGTTTGGCTCCACACCGTTTTCAAGTTGTTCCAGTGCTTTTCAACGCCGACCTCTTCGCTAGTGTTGATTTGTGTCTCGGCTTTGTCCTTTATGCTTGCAATGAAGATGTCCTTTGTAGCCTGGTCCTTCAGCTTTTGAGTGTTGAACTTGGCTTGTGGTCTATCTGCAGCTCCTCCTTCTTTGAAAGCTTTTAATTTGATTTGGATTGTCCCTTGTACGAGATAGTGGTCTGAGCCAACGTCTGCTCCTCTTCTTGCTTTTGTGTCCAGTAGGCTGCGCCTCCACTTCCTTGAGATTGAGATGAAGTCGATTTGGTTTTTGGTTTGCCCGTCTGGTGACACCCATGTAGCCTTGTGGATATCTTTGTGCTTGTATACACTGCCACCAATCACCAGTTCGTTGAAGGCGCAGAAGTCGGCGAAGAGTTCTCCGTTTTCATTCATTTCTCCTAGAGCTTCTCTACCCATGATGAGTTCCCTTCCCGTATTGTCTGGTCCCAGTTTGGCGTTCATGTCTCCCATTAGTATTTTCATGTCGCCAGCTGGAGTATTGTCCATTGTTGCCTGTAGTTGCCTGTAGAATTCTTCTTTCTTCTCGAGGTCTGCGTTGTTTGTGGGTGCATAACATTGTATGATTGACACTTTCCTTCCTTTGGAGTTGAACCTGGCGGTCATTATCCTGGACGAAATCGCCTCCCATTGTATCAGGGCTTTCGTTGCCGTTGGTGACATCATGATAGCCACGCCCTCGGTGTGCGTGTGGTTATCTTCTGGGTGACCGGAGTAGATCACTGACTCACCTGTTGACAATTTGGTGAGTCCACTCCCATTCCATCTGCTCTCACATATTCCCAGCACTTGTATTCCGTATCTTTTCATCTCGTTGGCGATCTGGGCAGCTTTCCCAGTCTCGTACATAGTTCGGACGTTCCATGTTCCTACACAGACTTTTTCTTTTGGTGCAAGGAGGTTCAACATACTGAAGTTTCTTTAGCAATTTTTGTTTACAGGGTGGGGTTGCTAGCCTCACGCCTGAGAAAAGAATGATTACATTAAGTAAAAGTTTAGAGAGAAGCAACTTTTTGGGTTGCTCCCCTCAAAATCAGAAAATAACGGACAAACAATGAGAACAACATCAACAAAGGAAACAGTTCACAGAAAAAAGGGCAAAAAGCGACGACAACTATACAATAAGACAACATGCAATATAGTTCAGTACATTTAACTAAAATGATATCTTAACCATAAACTCACTGACTTGGAGCAACTTGAACATATAAATCCAACAATATATACAATTATAGATGTGTTTATGTTTAAAAATTCCACAAATCCAAACAGTGAGTTATGTGTATTATCTGTCAATAAGATTGTATTTTTTGGATTCAGTGTTCGAAAGGTTTTCATTAATCAAACCGCTGTTTATACATGCATAGTTTATATTTGTTAACGAATCACTGAGCGTGTGATTTCGGTTTACATTGAACGAGATGAAAAGGAACGTTCAAATACACATATAGTATTCTGTTGCTAATGCAGTATTGTCCTGTGGGAATAGGTGAGAATAATATTCTGTTGAAATACATTGTCTGTATCCCACCACCACAGTATCATTATTTTGGACAGAGATATCTTCATATATGGATAAATCATGACTAACAAAGAAGCTGGTTTGTCCCAACATCTCTCTTCTTCAATGAGTTCTCGATTGGAGGACCACTGGATATTACTGTGCAGGTATGTGTACTCTCCGTCTGTTACCTCCTCGATGAAATGGTATGGGATCATCGGTTTGTAACTGGAGGACAATGTAATCATCTCAATAATTGCTCGAACACATTTGTCCAGTAGGCTACATCATCAACTTCAATACTATCATCATTCAAGGCAGGAAGAGTAAACTTCTCTCATTCTTCGGGCTGTAACTGATGGAGAAAAACGACGTCGTGAAACTCTTCCTGTCAAATAGAATAGGAGCGCCTGTACGTATGTATGTAGAGAGAGAGGGAGAGAGGGGATTCTTTGCATTCCGTGAAGACAGGAGAAATTAAAGTGGAATTGCCTACACTTTGACTGATCATATTTCCCGATTTTACACAAACTGTATCTCTTCACAGATAGAATTCGATGCATTATGAGAATCCAGATTCTCTATTCTCTTTGAAGAGAGAACATGTTCGTTCTTTCTCTCTTCAAACTAATGGAGGGAACTGGTTGTATGAAATCTCTATTCTCTGTTTGAATTTAGCTTCAATTTGCATGGTTTTATTCGAAGCCGAACTGTTCAAATAATGCCTCAATTAGTGATAAATGGGTCGTGTACTTCTGTGGCTGACTGACTGACTGACTCAAGGAGAGGATGAACAGTTTGAGTATGGAGATGGGATAGGATGGGATAGGATGACTAGATGATTGGAAAGATTATCCCTTAGTGAGGATTTGGATGAGAGTTTAGCCTGTTGCAGGGCTTCATAGTGTTTTCGGCACTGTTGTTGAAGTAACTGAATTTTGTGAAATTTGAGGTAGGTAGGTAGGTGATTGAACACTTGTAAAATCGACATGACTGGATATATTACTGAATTAATTGTACTAGAATTTGTGATCGTTTCCACTAAACTGAATAACGCCGTCGCGGAAGTTTTTTGTTGACAAAATATCCGTCTAAGTTGAGTAAAATGGGTCTTCAGACACAACAGTTTTCGTTTGTAAGTGTACTGCTAATATCAATATTATATTTGTAATTATTCCTATTATTGTTACTTTCAGTTACCGTCATCCGCGATTCAATGTGAAAATGAGGCAAATATTCGATTAGAAAACTCACTACCCAATTCGCTACTTAATTCGACTTCAAGAAAAGTGAGTGAATAAAATAATTGTGGGTGTTCCACTGTTTTTCCGTTGAAAAGAATTGACTAACCTGATGCTGGAACGTCCGTGATTAAATGTGTAGTCTTAGAAGATATACCAGCGAGGAGGATGTAGTTGACTAACCTAAGCAATTGACTTCCAACCAATTGGGTGCCAGGTTCGACTCCTGTTCCACGGTTATCAACAACCCTGTCACATACGATAAGTGTGTAACGGATTTCTAACAACAACAAGAAGAAGAATCGAGAAAGCATACCGTTCCCAAGCTAGAAATCTCTACTGTTCAGAAATGTGTAATATACCGTTAAATGCTAGTGATGCACAGTATTGTGACCAGCTTCCCAAACTAGTGTTGCGCCCCTAGTTTACAAAGTTTCGCGGAGTCCACGTGGTTTCTTTGGAGTTTAAATTTAGTATTCTTCACGTCCTGTATCACCTCATTACCCCAAATAGAAAAGGTGTCCTAGTTGTTAGTAGTCATATTGGTCCGGTAAGTTGAATGGAGTAGTGTTATTATTATTATTATTCTTATTTTAAGTACTAATCATATTAATGTTTTTCGATTTTCACAGGGTTTATATATTTGCCTGTGTTGCCGATCGACATTTACAAGTAGTGCTTTGTATGAAGACCATCTGGATCGTGCCGTTGCTCGAATATTGTATCGTTGTCATATCTGTCGTGGTTCTTGGACGACTTCACGTGAGGCGGTCAGTATCGCTGATAATCATGAGAGCGAAACATGCTCACGGTTTTATTCTGTTCTACCGGGTGGAATTATCAGCGCTAATAATAAATGCGCTATATTTACTCACTTGGTATCTGCACACCCGGATAAAAGAAGTGATTGGATTCTACGACCATCACTTCTTACAATTTGTCCGTTGTTTATGCCAACCACATTTTTAAATTTAGCAGCACAGACCGCCTCCACTACTACTGATATCCAATCTTTTGATGTATCGAGTGAGTTGACTACTAATTTGTTGTTTGTTTTTCTCTTATGTGCTGTAACTTTATGCTGTGTATGTTTCTGTACTTTTGTTGTCTCCTATCACAGTTATAATGCGTATGCATATGCATGCGTGTGTGTGTGTGTCTGTTTGTCTAAAAAGGTGTTTACAATGTTTTGCATAGACTGATTTGTTATGTAACCAATATCTATATAGACTGCAGGCGGTGGCATTGAGCCTGATTAATAAGTGCTTTTCGAGGGAGGGCTTCGTGTGGGTGTTTACAACTACACTTATTTGGGAAGTTGTAACAGACAATGTTGTCAGCGGGTCGATCGCTGACGAAATCACGACACGGATGCAGGAGGCTCGTTTCGCATATGCTGAGGTACGCTATCTCTGGCATAGACGTGATTTCCGGTTGGCTGTCGATCGAAGGACATGTGTACTGCTCAGCAGCCATTGAAATTGGAATATATGAAAAGCCTGGCTAGCTGTCTCTGATCATAGGTGCCTGCTTTCTGTCTCCCATGTTGGGTGGAATAATAGAGTGAGCAATATTGAGGTCAGGAATCGGTCGAGTGCTGTGTAAGAAGGAAGGGAAAATCAGTGAACGAGTTTGTGAAGTTACATCGATTGAGAGAGATGGTTAGGACATTTGTTACGCATGACTAACTTACCATTGCCTTCCTCGATAATAGGTAATGTTAACTGACATAGAATGGTGGATCAGGTTGGAGAAGAGCTAGGAGATGGTGGTCAAACCAAAACATGGCTGGCCTCATCAGTCAATGAAATCCACAACAGTTAGTTTAGGCCAGCCAGCCAGCCAGCGAGCCACGTAGGGAGGTGTAGAGTGCCTGTTTGTGGTCTTCGGGATGGTGAGAATCAGCGATTGGAGGCAATTAGTGATATGGCTCACAATCGTCTTCGGGTGATGGCTGGCGCAGATGCATTCACTCTTTGTGATTTATCATAAATATCATAACAAGATTCTATTGTTCTTCCGTATTACTAATCCTAATCCCCTCACTGACACTTCTGTTTATAATCCGTGTCTCTCTATTTTGAACCTCTCTGTGGTCTTTTGTCTTGGTTTGTGTGATACATGGAGTGTGACAACTCGATATTCTGCAGAGCTGTGCAAGGTTCTGTGTTGAAACGAGTGAGTCATTAATAAGTGATCGGTGAGATTGTGTATTTTGGTTAAAAATGACTCCCTCAGTTGTTTTCTTTAATAAACTTGAACGAAGCATGAATGACAAATGTACCATCAGGATACTATGAACTCATCTCTCATTATTTCGAGGATTCTTCTCACACCGCTGGCTACAACCTGAACAATGCAGAAATATATAAATCGCAATAAAGATTTAAACATACTTTTTACACCAATGAGAAGAAGTAATTGGTGGGAACCTAATGTTAACTAGTAGTCTGAAATGATGTAAGTTGTTATGTAATTAGGAGCGAAAAGGAGTGACTATATATGGTAAAATTGGATGACTCTGGTGTGTCGGTGGCACAATGGTAGAATGTTTGCCAACTGCGTATGTGTTCCGGAGTTCTGTCTGTCTGTCTGTTTTCGATATAGAGTTCAATCTTCGGCCACTGACTACGCACTCCTTTACTTCTCTAAACCGTTAATAAGACTGGTAAACGGGAAATGTGTAGGCGTGCATGGGGTTGGCTTGCAACCCTACCCGTAAAAATACATACCAACGAAATAGAATAAAATAAATACTACGGAAACTCCAGCCTCTGCCTTGAGGCCCTATGTTTCACTGGGGACTTAAAAAATGAAAAAAGTCTTGTAAAATGTATTTTTAAAAAAATCTTTATTGTAGCCAGTCGAAAAGGATTCGTGAAAAGATAAGTAAATGTATTATTGTTCTATACCTACTGCTCACTGAATATGTAAAAGCGAATGGAGATGGATTGGGCACACGTTGAGGAGGCCATCGTCGAATGACGTTGCATGTCAGACCTTCGAGTGGAAGGTGAGCGTAAAATGTAGGAGACCAGAGTCCCAAATGGGACTAAATGGTGTGTGCGTATGTGTGGGAGGTGGGTGGGTTCCACTGCTAGTCACCATCATTCATCAAATTACTTCAAATTCTTAACCAAGTTTGAAAATACGAAATTTGTTAGTAATTATGACCATGTGAATGCCTGAAATCTACTATCCTATGCTTTCATGTCATTAATCCAAGGTTATGGTTAAATGCATAAGATGTAACATGACTGGAAATAATAATCAAGGGGAATCCCTAGGCCTAGGTGAAGGAAAACACACACATGGTTAACAACACCGGTACTTCTGATGAACAGTAATAAGTGTATTCAGGACAATGAATACATCAGTACTAATATGAATGATTTTGTATCATCCCATCATATTTTGCCACGTTAACTTTGCTGTGATTGGTTGTTGACTCAGCCTTGTTCATATTTTCTCACGGCCCATATTAGTGACCTAGACCTTAACGTAGATTAGTGCCAACCAATCGGCTAGCAGCCTGCTCTCACCACACTCGTCCCCCCGTCAAATACGTGCGACTGAAGTCGGCTTGATCTACTTGGTGCAGGCGTCATCGTTGGCTTGTCTCGCCGTATCCATTTCTGGAGCTCGCTGACGTTGACGCGCCTCTCATTGTTCGTCATTGCGATTGTGTCCGCGTAATCCCATCTCGAAGTGACCATATGTGGTCCTTCCCACTTTGGAAACTGTTTGCCTGACCCTGTCGAACATTCGTCAGTATTTCGTCTCACACTTTCATATGCTGCTTTCACCCGACCTCCCAGCAGCGTCCCAAGTAGCAGCTCCATCGCTGACAGATCTAGAACGCCACTCAACTGCGCAGAAGCCTTGAAGTCCTGCCCGAAGATCCATATATCTCCATCTAAAACAGCAGGGCATAGGCTTTCCTTTTGTAGGTAGGCAGCGACACCAAATGTAACAACAGAAGACAAGGGCCAGGCAACAGATCGTTTTATTATGAAAATCAACACGTATTTATACATATTTCAACTACATTATTATAGACAAGCGCAGTCATCTGATTGGTTGTTTATCAGAAGTTAGGTAGACAAACGCAGGCTTCTGATTGGTTGTTTCGGGATTCCTTGACAAATAGAGTTCTCTATCTGCGAATCATATTTTGCCACGTTAACTTTGCTGTGATTGGTTGTTGACTCAGCCTTGTTCATATTTTCTCACGGCCCATATTAGTGACCTAGACCTTAACGTAGATTAGTGCCAACCAATCGGCTAGCAGCCTGCTCTCACCACACTCGTCCCCCCGTCAAATACGTGCGACTGAAGTCGGCTTGATCTACTTGGTGCAGGCGTCATCGTTGGCTTGTCTCGCCGTATCCATTTCTGGAGCTCGCTGACGTTGACGCGCCTCTCATTGTTCGTCATTGCGATTGTGTCCGCGTAATCCCATCTCGAAGTGACCATATGTGGTCCTTCCCACTTTGGAAACTGTTTGCCTGACCCTGTCGAACATTCGTCAGTATTTCGTCTCACACTTTCATATGCTGCTTTCACCCGACCTCCCAGCAGCGTCCCAAGTAGCAGCTCCATCGCTGACAGATCTAGAACGCCACTCAACTGCGCAGAAGCCTTGAAGTCCTGCCCGAAGATCCATATATCTCCATCTAAAACAGCAGGGCATAGGCTTTCCTTTTGTAGGTAGGCAGCGACACCAAATGTAACAACAGAAGACAAGGGCCAGGCAACAGATCGTTTTATTATGAAAATCAACACGTATTTATTCATATTTCAACTACATTATTATAGACAAGCGCAGTCATCTGATTGGTTGTTTATCAGAAGTTAGGTAGACAAACGCAGGCTTCTGATTGGTTGTTTCGGGATTCCTTGACAAATAGAGTTCTCTATCTGCGAATCATATTTTGCCACGTTAACTTTGCTGTGATTGGTTGTTGACTCAGCCTTGTTCATATTTTCTCACGGCCCATATTAGTGACCTAGACCTTAACGTAGATTAGTGCCAACCAATCGGCTAGCAGCCTGCTCTCACCACACTCGTCCCCCCGTCAAATACGTGCGACTGAAGTCGGCTTGATCTACTTGGTGCAGGCGTCATCGTTGGCTTGTCTCGCCGTATCCATTTCTGGAGCTCGCTGACGTTGACGCGCCTCTCATTGTTCGTCATTGCGATTGTGTCCGCGTAATCCCATCTCGAAGTGACCATATGTGGTCCTTCCCACTTTGGAAACTGTTTGCCTGACCCTGTCGAACATTCGTCAGTATTTCGTCTCACACTTTCATATGCTGCTTTCACCCGACCTCCCAGCAGCGTCCCAAGTAGCAGCTCCATCGCTGACAGATCTAGAACGCCACTCAACTGCGCAGAAGCCTTGAAGTCCTGCCCGAAGATCCATATATCTCCATCTAAAACAGCAGGGCATAGGCTTTCCTTTTGTAGGTAGGCAGCGACACCAAATGTAACAACAGAAGACAAGGGCCAGGCAACAGATCGTTTTATTATGAAAATCAACACGTATTTATACATATTTCAACTACATTATTATAGACAAGCGCAGTCATCTGATTGGTTGTTTATCAGAAGTTAGGTAGACAAACGCAGGCTTCTGATTGGTTGTTTCGGGATTCCTTGACAAATAGAGTTCTCTATCTGCGAATCATATTTTGCCACGTTAACTTTGCTGTGATTGGTTGTTGACTCAGCCTTGTTCATATTTTCTCACGGCCCATATTAGTGACCTAGACCTTAACGTAGATTAGTGCCAACCAATCGGCTAGCAGCCTGCTCTCACCACACTCGTCCCCCCGTCAAATACGTGCGACTGGAGTCGGCTTGATCTACTTGGTGCAGGCGTCATCGTTGGCTTGTCTCGCCGTATCCATTTCTGGAGCTCGCTGACGTTGACGCGCCTCTCATTGTTCGTCATTGCGATTGTGTCCGCGTAATCCCATCTCGAAGTGACCATATGTGGTCCTTCCCACTTTGGAAACTGTTTGCCTGACCCTGTCGAACATTCGTCAGTATTTCGTCTCACACTTTCATATGCTGCTTTCACCCGACCTCCCAGCAGCGTCCCAAGTAGCAGCTCCATCGCTGACAGATCTAGAACGCCACTCAACTGCGCAGAAGCCTTGAAGTCCTGCCCGAAGATCCATATATCTCCATCTAAAACAGCAGGGCATAGGCTTTCCTTTTGTAGGTAGGCAGCGACACCAAATGTAACAACAGAAGACAAGGGCCAGGCAACAGATCGTTTTATTATGAAAATCAACACGTATTTATACATATTTCAACTACATTATTATAGACAAGCGCAGTCATCTGATTGGTTGTTTATCAGAAGTTAGGTAGACAAACGCAGGCTTCTGATTGGTTGTTTCGGGATTCCTTGACAAATAGAGTTCTCTATCTGCGAATCATATTTTGCCACGTTAACTTTGCTGTGATTGGTTGTTGACTCAGCCTTGTTCATATTTTCTCACGGCCCATATTAGTGACCTAGACCTTAACGTAGATTAGTGCCAACCAATCGGCTAGCAGCCTGCTCTCACCACACCGGTGTTGTTAACCATATGTGTGTTTCCTTTCACGTAGGCCTAGGGATTCCCCTTGATTATTATTTCCAGTCATGTAACATCTTATGCATTTAACCATAACCTTGGATTAATGGCTTGGAAGCATAGGATAGTAGATTTCAGGCATTCACATGGTCATAACTACTAACAAATTTCGTATTTTCAAACTTGGTTAAGAATTTGAAGTAATTTGATGAATGATGGTGACTAGCAGTGGAACCCACCCACCTCCCACACCACGCACTTACACCATTTGGTCGTATTTGGGACTGACTTATCGACTAGCTGTACCTGCATCCCTCCTCAGCGAGTGATGGTTTTCGTCCACTCCACTGAGGCTCTAACCAGTAGCCATAGTGCGTCGATGGCACAGTGGTTAGGACTCTCGCCGACCATGCACATGGTCCAGGATTCGAGCCCACGCCGACTTACACCTGATATCTATGGTTGGCCTGCGAAATTTGGGCTACCGATATCCACGCTGAAAATTCCATACTTGTACCAAAAATACAGTGTGGAATCAAGCTGTAATCGAAAATAAAAAAATAAATAAAAATCCAATGGGCCACCGCCTGCGTGGGCGACGAGCTCCATCCTCTTGTGCAACAGGTAACGGGTATTAGTTATCATTCAGGGTTTTCTGAAAGCCACTCGAATTGCTTGTATTCCACCTTATTGTCGTCCACATTAACTGACTTTTTTTATCAAGTAAGACTAAACTGACCTGATTACTAATTAATTGACCAGTAATCACACAATTGCACTGATGATTAGTGTTAGTTAGTGTTAGTGTAGTTGTTTGAATGATGAACACTGCTCAGAAAAAAGATGAAATTGTATGAACTCTCACTCACTCTCTCTCTCTCTCAATAATCATTTGAAAACAACGAGTACTATTCACCGATGCAACATTTACAATAAATCAGACCTGACAATTAATCACTTGTCATTCAGTCAGTCGGTTAGTCATCCATGTACGAAAATTAAACAAATGTGCTGAATAATCAATTTAAAAGGTTGTTGGACTGACGCAGTGATGAGTTCTCACACAGGAAAGTGATGAGACTGCCCTACCTCTGTCTTATTATGGTAATGACAGCGCTGATTTTATGAAATATACAATAAAATAAATAATGCTTGTGACATGATTGACAATCGCATTTTTCAAATGTTTGATGAGTGGTGATCAGTTGAGTTGATTTATAATCAACACTGACATCCTGGTCGACAATCACCGGAAACATTAGACTTTCGTCCATTGACTGCAGCATTTAATTTAGTTG